GCTGAAGGCTTGAAGGGAGGGTCCCAGAGCTTTGGACGTCCTGGCCCAGTTAATAAATTTTTAATTGGGGAGACCAAGCAAGCTGCCAACTTCTTAGCTGGCCGAGGACCACCAGTGACTGGCCCCCACATTTCATAAAGATGGGACGTTTTAATACTAACCGTAGACGAGTGAACTTGCAGACTAAGGGACAGGCCTTTCCAAGATGAGACAGTGGCACTCATATATTGGCCTACTGTACATTGTCCTCACTTGTCACGCAGCCACAGACAGGTGGAAACTGCCCTGGATTAGCACTGGCCCGTAGGCTGGCTTTGGGGTCCCTCCCCTAGAGGACCCACCACTGACTTTCCTTGCACTTGAGGTTCACAGCATTATACTGCTCATGGCCTGTGGACACCAGGCCCTGGGCCCTGCTGGGGCTCCTTCCTTAATCCAGAGTGCCTAGACCCTCCCTCAGGAGTGAGGCTGGGAGGAAGCAGAGAACCCGGGGCCCTGGCTTCGTCTCCTGTTACTACCTTCCACTCACAAGGCAGCTGTGCTGCTGCTCAGACATGGGGAGCCTGGATTCTGAACCTACCTGGTCTATACCGGTATGACCAAGAAAACCATGGGCACCTCTGTGCTGGCCAGAAAGAAGGCAGTGTCTGCAGGGGCAATGACCCCAGATGAAGTTTCCTTACTAGGGAATGCAGCAACTAAAAATAGACTCCATTCTGCTCTGGTCTGTATCTATTCTGTTCTGATTCTCTCCTACCCTATCATCTTGTTTTCTATTCTATTCTATTCTATTCTATTCTATTCTATTCTATTCTATCCTATCCTATCCTATCCTATCCTATTCTTTTCTTTTCTTTTCCTTATGACCTGCCCATGGAAGTGGGGAACTACTTGCTTAAAGATAATTAGATCAGAGAGAGAAAGGGAAAAAATCAAGGAGAGGGAACAGCAGGGAATAAAAAATAAAGAGAAAAAAACAAGAGAGATACTTGAGCTGTATATCTGAAAAGAACAGGGCTTAATGTAGAACTGATAGACTGCTATGTTTCTAGCATCCGTCTTTAGAGCACAGCCCTCAAGCCCTGGGTGGTAGAGTTTCCCCAGCAGACGTGGGGGAGGGGTGTGTCTGACAGAGGCTGCTCCGGGCAGGGATTTCTGGGTCTCTGCCCCAGTCCTTCCCAGCGGGCCCCGAGCAGGGCAGGGCTCACCTCCTCGCTGTACTTGCCCACGTAGGAGAAGATCTCGGAGAGCGCGCTCATGGTGTTGAACTCGTTCATGTGCATCCGGGACTGCTCAGCCAGGTAGGCATTCATGTCCTGGTCACTGATGGCCGGCATCTTCCCGATGTCCGAGTAGTACCTGCCGAGGCACGACAGTGAGGAACCGTGCGTGCGGGGCAGAGGAGAGATGGAAACTCCCAGCGCCGGGTCTGGGGCCAGCGGGTTCGGAGGGTGACCCAGACACTATCAGAGGGTGGACAGGGTGGGCACAGGAGGAAGGAGCGACTATCGCCTGCACTGGCTTTGTTCCCGGCTCCCGGAAGAGTGGTCCAGTCTGCCTTGTGTGTCCTTCTAACTCCCCCTCCCACAGACGCAAGACATCCCCTCCATGGGGCCTGAAGGCTCTTCTAGGCAGTTGCCCTGCCCTGATGCCCCCCCTCTCTGAGGTTAGCCAGGAGAAGGGTGGGGCTGGGGGCCGCTTGCGGGGAGAGGCTGGCAGAAGGCAATCAGTCACTGTCACTTGCAGCTGTGCACTCCTGTCAACTGGTTAATTAGATGCCAACATTTACATTTTTAATTTCTGAAGTTTGACATTTTATGCAGCAAACCCCAACTCTCCCACCAGAGGGGAGTTGTGTCATTTCCTAATGAGGCACTGAAGGGCCCCGGTGCCCCCCAAGACAGGTGCTTTCGGCTGTGGGCTACGGGGAAGAGACCAGGCACCTGCAAAGGCGGGGGAGCATCAGGGCCGTAGGGCAGCACGCTCGGGAGTCCTTGTGGTGTCCCAGCTCAGCCCACGGTGACTGCCCGAGCCTGGGAGCTTAGAACAGAGGAGGGTGGCGGGGACAGTCACCAGGGCGGGGACTAGGGTGAGGCAGGTGAGGCAGCTGGGGAACAAAGTTTTCGGAGAGTCACTCTCACCTGGGAAGGTGCAGGTGACAATGACAGGCCTTGGGTTCCCAGAACTCAAGCCTTGATCAGGTGAGTGGAGGGAGTATTCTCAGAGGCTCTGGTTCATTCTCACCCTGGACCTCAGCCCTGCATCTCTCCCTCTGCATCCCTTACCATGCTGACCATGAACCTCTCAGTCCTGTGCCCACCTTCACCTCTGCCCCTAGGTGCCCAGGAGCTGGGTGGCAGACGATCAGAGGTGGCACTCGTGCGCTACTCCAGCATCATGCTCAAGGGCCTGCGTGAACGACAGGTCAGTTTGCGCCAGGGCATCCCCAGGCCGGCAAGGATTGGCAAGGGGTGGGCTGGCCGCCCTACTGGAGCCACAGCCCTGCACGGAGGCCGTCCTGCCTCCGGCTCATTTGGACTTCCTTTCTTCACAATGTTATTTCAGTGTGGGGTCCTCTCTTCCCTTGCTCTCCCTCGTCTTCAGAGCCCTTGGGCCCCTCAGCTCCTTGTCCTGTTTCATTTTGGTTCCTCTGTTCCATCCCAGAAGAGCCCACTCTCTTCTAGGCCTGAATCCCACCCCAAAACATCTTTAGGGTCCCCAGGGTTCCAGGTAATGACATCCCAGGTGCTAAAGTTCCAGGGAGAGACTCGATGCATTGCCTCTATTTCTGGAAGGCAAAAAATGCAATGTTCCCTTTGATAGCAGAGAACCAGGGCGTCAGTGGTGGCCCCAACCTCGCCACTCCTAAGATTTGTGCCATCGTCCCCTCGCGACTCCATGCCTAGTGAGCAAATACATTTGTCCGGCAAAGGGTCACGTCCACAGGTCATATGGGGGGAGGAAATAGGAACAAACGAGCCTCTCACTTCTGTGTCACGGCCAGCGGCCAGACGTAGCTCTGGCAACATGGCTGGGCCCAGAGTTTCCTCCAGACAGTTTCACTCTGTCACCACCGACAGCCAGACCTACTGACTGCGAGGAAAACCCCAGGATCCCGATGGGACGTGACCATCATCAGAAGCAAAGACTCCTGCCCTTCCTGTTAGCTGCTCCTGAAACCTTACAGGTAGGTGGACGGCTCTGTCAGGCTTTCTGCAAATAGCATGAGGCCTCCTACTGCGACCTTAATGGTTGTGAGGGGCCTCCGAGCCCAGGTTAGGGACCACCGTCTTCACGGGAAACAGCAGTCGCCCGGCACTCTGTCCCTTCGCAATGGCCTGCCTTTACCGCACTAAAAGCCCCGTCCTTTGCTCCAAAGAGGATGTACAGAAAATGAGTCTGTGTGAGAAAGAGAGGGAGAGGGTGTGAGGTGGGGTTGAGAGGGGAGTGTGGGAGGGCAGGGGTCTAACTCCTCACCTGCAGTCATGGGGGCAGCCGGCCTGGACGTGCTCTGCGTGATTCCCGCTCATAGTGAGGTCAGGTCTGCACGGGGCAACCCGCCCCTCCTCTGCTGCCTGTGTGCAGAGGGCGCTGGATGGGACCAGTGCACGTCGGTGCCACACACAAGCCTACGAGTGGATCGACCGCACGTCCTCACCTTCAGCAAGTTCTAAATGGCTGAGCTGAGTGGCTCTGGGCAGTCTGATGTCCTAGAGGAGTGTGGGGCTTGAGGTCTGCTGACATTCGGCCCATCCTCACCCCAAGCCCTGCCTGGAGCTAAGTGGGCCCATCCCCCCTGCAGGTCTCTGCTGCCCTTGCCTCGACCTCTCCCTGCTCCTCTCCAGGGCTCTGCCCAGCCCCACTCCCTGGCCAACACCCTTGAGCCTGACAGTGGCCCTGCTGCTCTGGCATCGCTGCACTGTGTGCACAGCTGCTTCCTCTCAAGCGCCTGCTGTGCTGGGGCTCTGCGCTGGGCTCTGTCGCTGAGCACCTTATTGATTGTGAAGAATGCAATTATGTCCCATTAATGAACTTCACACGAGTGCTCTTATCAGCTAGCTGTGCCGTGAGGAAGGGAAAGGTCAGCCTGGGCTCCTGTGCTTGAACTTGCTCCCTTGGGATGTCCTCCTGCAGGCGAGCCCTTCTCCAGAAGGGAACCAGGTGGGATGCCAGCCCCACTGTGGTCCTGATGCTGGTCCTCAGGAGCTGCAGGGCCCCAGAGAGCCGGATTCTCTGCTGTTGCCCAGTCTGCAGTGTTTTACATTCATGTGCTTCTGTGAGATGCACCCAGTGTGTGATGGTGGGCACCCCATCTCTGCCTTTAGGATGGCCCCAGTGATTGAGAAGGTGGTCTCCAATGCCCTGGACTCTTAGAGAAGAACAAAGTATCCTCATCCCTTCAAACACCTCAAGGATGAAGGTGCAGACGTGAAGGACATTTAGAGCCCAAGGCTCTGATGTACAGATACTTACTTTTCAAGCTCCTGCATAAAAGTCTTTCCCTCTGTGTTCATTCACTGACCTCCCCAGGCCCAGGAGAATCAGGACGTTGCTCCCTGATCCCCCACAGCTGACAGGGCTTGCTGAGGCTTCTGTGTGTCCTCCTTGACCATGATGAGGGCCACAAGGGAAGGATCAAGTCTAATCCATCCCGAGTGTCCAGTGCGCCCACGATGGACACCATGGATGAGTAAGTTAATGAGATGTCCATACTTCACCTCCAGTATTGCTCCCGGGGTGAACTGTCACAAGTTTTATATTTGGAATGGATGGCTTCTTTAGGAGGCATTTTTAAATATTTAAGATTCCTAGCCTGTTTCGTGTGTGACACAGGTGAGAGATGGCATCCCAGCGAGTGGCATGCCCCGGTCCAATTCCCAGGGGCCCGACTGTGGCTCCATTCCATTCACTGCTATGTGGAAAACCTGTGCCTGCAGGTGAGGGAGGCTGCCGTTGCCACGGGGTTAATTCCAATTTAAAATGAGAGGCAACCACTCTAACATGAAACCGTTACTGCTGTTGACAGTGAAATAGAAATTTCTGCTGATCATGACACACCAGTCTGGTGACAACACTGTTGAGTTCTGCTGTCTAAGATGAGGGTAGCAGTTGGTTGCTACCGCGGAACCAAGAGATTCTTCTCCCTTTTACTAGATGTGGCCGTAAGCAAAACCCCTAATACTTGGAATGGAGGCAGCAAAGACTGGGAGTCTGCAGTGAGGCCACCAACCACAAGCATTGCAAGGTATTTGGAGGCGGGAATGGGATGGAGGATGGATGAGAGGACAAGCAGAAGGATGGGAGGGATGTGGGATGAGGGGATGGTGGGGGGACGGGTGGATGAAGAACTTCTAGGAGGTAAAGCCTGCTTAGGTATGATAGAGTGACTTGGGCTGCTCAACCAACAGAGTTAGTGAGGACTCCTGAAGCCGTATGCTTCCCACCCCCCTATAGAGAGGGCCACCAGAATAAACCCTGTTTCTCAGCTGTGAGGACAGCAGGCCCTCCCCCAGATGTGCGCAGGGCATGCTCTACGGCACTGAGGCGGTGAGCCTGGGCCCTGTGTGTGCTGTCTGCACGCTCATAGCAACTGAACATCGAAATCAGAAGTGGGCAAGCCCCGGCCACAAGAAAAGGGCCTTCTACCATCGTTCTTCTGAACTGGAGGCTGCCCGTGCCCTCGGCAGGCCAAGGTGGGTGAGCAGGCTGGCTGTGGGTCCTGAGCAAGCTCTGTGCTGCCGGACTTCATTTCCCAGCAGCAGACAAGCTCAGAGGCCAGCCTCCTCGGGAAGGGAGACTGGAACTGATCCACTCACCACCGAGGGAAGAAGCACTCTAGGCTTGATCTCCAGACCTAGCTGTGCTATTTCCCAACCCCTCTGTCTTTGTACCCTCATCCCAGAAGGGGAGGAGAAATGATTTGGGACCCCAAGCAAGTGAGAGATGACTTTCCTGAGAGTGCCTTTGGTTGTTAAGAAACGGGTGGGATAAGAAATGGAGACCATCAAGGCACTCCTAAAAATAACCAGATGGACTGGGGTTACTTGTGAGCTATAGCAGCTGTGTGGCACGAATCTCATTTAGCACCACGTGAAAGGGAGACCATTAGCCCTGACTAACCGGGCCATTCTGGGGAAGTATCCTCTACACAGTTGTTTCATAAATGCTCCCAGCCCTTCACATCCCGGCTTTCTCCCTCCCTGCCCGAGGTCCCATTGCAGTGACACTGCACTGGGACAGGGATAACCAGAGCCCAGCTGCTGCCTCTTTCTTCTCTCTCTCTGCTGAAGAGCCAGCTGACCACACAGGAGAGCTTGCTCCTCCTGGCGGCTCTGCTGTCAGAAGAATGAGCCACTGTCGACGCAGGGGGAGGTAAGAGCCTCTTTGGTAACTCAGACACAATCAGATACGAGGACAAAAGAGTGAGCTGTCTCTCTGACAGCCGAGGCTGGAAGCCCACCACATGTACCAGCAGGAAGGGGTGGGGGAGATATCAAAGAACAGAGGGAGGGGGAGAACAAAATGCAATTCTTCCAGCAGAACCATGTTACTGGGGTGGCCAGGATCCCACCCCACTCTCGGTTATTCCCTCTGTAAAAAGGGAAGGCAATTTTCAACTATAAAGATGGAGACTGTCTCTCTTCCATGGGTGAAACCATATTGTTCATTTTGTCTCAGTCAAGAACAATTTCTGGTCTCTGACTCTTCAAAAAAGCACCAAATCTGAGTTTCCAGCCAGGTTTCCTATCTTTAAGCTACTTAGAAGAGAGAGGGACTCTAAACTCAAGACCGCCACGTAGAGGTGTGCAGGTCGTGCACTGCACAAAGGTGCTTGGTTGAGAGGGTGAGCTAGGACTGACGGCTAGCCTGTCACTCAACAAACCAGGCATCCTGGCATGGGGCCACATCGTCTGGTAGGAAGGGGCACCTGCCTTAATTCACACAGACACCGTGTGGGTTGGCAAAAGCCCTGTCTAAAAGGATCATAAATTGTAGAAAAGAGATTTGGGAGTCAGCTGAATTTGGGGATCTGCTTTTCTCTTGGCCACTTAAGTCATCTTGGACTGATTACTCAACCATTCTGTACGTATAGTTCTTCACCTTCATGGGCACAAAATGAGGTTATAAAGCCTGTCCTCTTGTATTCCGGAGCTCCTGTGATGAATGAATAGACTTGCAGCTGGTTGTTTAGCTCAGGCGTTTGGCATATGGAGCTGATACAGCCCAGACAAGCCACGAATGTTCTTTACCGTGAGTGAGCTTTGTACCAAGAGGAACCCAGCTGCACAGCGTACAGGTGGCCCTCCCGTCACAGGTGCACGGCTGAGACTGCATTAGGTTAGGGCCACTGTGGCTGGGAAGGCACCGTAAGGGCCTGGGCATCAAGAGTTCATCGTGCTGAGAGTCAGGGGACTGGGACTGTGCGAAGCTGTTCAGTGTGACCAGGACGTCCCCACAGGCCACTGGAAGAACTGCCAGATGGACAGGGGCAGATGGGGACAGGCCTGCAGCCCGCCTGTGGCAGGATGCTATTCGGTCCCTTGGAGTCTGTCTTTTTTCTTTTTTCGTTTTTTAGTGGGCATCAGAGCAGGGAACTCCATTTCCTTCCTGGGCCTAGAAAGAGCTGGGCCCTCCATGCAGGGGAGCAGAGCGCAGTGGCAACATCTAGCCATGTCCCATTCTTGTTTCAGCTGACAGTACTGGGTCCTTGGGCTGTGGGTGTCACCACTGCAGGCTGGGGCTTCGTGTGGGACCAGTCTGCAAGCCCTGCCCATTGCGGAGGGGAAGGAAGGGGTCCCACCTCCACCAGGGAAGGTGCCTGCTGCGGCCCGGGGCCGACCTGGGCTCCCCGGCCCAGCACTCACCTCTCCACCCAGTTCTTGTAGCTGGGGATGTCCTTGGCGTAGAGCAGCTTGTTGGAGGGGGAGTCCTTGCCCAGTCGGTGCTCTGACGTGGAGCAGGAGTCCATGAAGGTCTGGGCCACCACCGACAGGCAGGCGTCAGTGATGCTGCTCTTGTGGATGTCAAACACAAACTGGGGGTTCTTGATCATGTTGACCCAAAACCTCAGGGGCAGGCTGTGTGGGGGGAAGAGGCAGATGGTCAAGGGAGCTGGGGGGCAGGGGGCACTGGACATTGACCTAGAGAGTTCCCTGGAGAAAGAGAAAAGGCTGGGAAGCAAGGGTTCTGAGGGGCCTTCTCTATGTCATCAGTTCACTTTCCGGGGACGTGGAGATCAGCAAGGTTGAACAATCTGTTCAGAGATACAGCGTTGATGGGCACTGGAGGGCTCGACGCCCAGCCTGGACCACAGGACTCACCATCTGCCCTGAGAACACAAGGCTTTGGGGTCCGAGGCAGCCATGACAGGTACTAGAAAATGGAATTTCTGACTCTCTATTCCACTGTCTGCCCCCTATGCCACAGATGCAAGGCATGTCTGGTTGGCAAACCTTAAATAGCCTGGAACCTGGGCTTTGTATCTTATTCTCTGCCCTCTACTGTATGACTGGAAGAAGCCACGCCCTTCCTGCCTGGTCGTATGGGCTTATTCCTACATGGTGAGAGCCCTGGCACTGAACAGTTCCAAGTGGAGCTAACTGATTCCCATCCCTAAGCGGGCAGGCTGAACAGACCCCACTCCCGGCCTCTCACCTGCCCCGTTGTGTTCCCTCCTTCCCCTCACTTTCTTCCAGTTAGCACCTGCTGTATACCAGGAGCTATGCTAGCAACTGGGGGTCCAGTGTGAATAAGACCCATCCCCTGTCCTGCAGAAGTCTGCATACCGCTGGGCTCGTGGTGATGTCAGACGTGCAATCATGAACTTTGGGTGTTGGACCTGAAGGATGGGTGGGGTCCAGTGTGGGAGCCAGGGAGGTGTGAGCAAGTCTACCCAGAGAGGCGTTATCTGGAAAGTCTTCCCAGAGAGGACGACGCTTAATGGTCTCAGTATTAGAGATGCAGATGAAAAGCTGAAGGAAGAGGGGAGGAAGGTACTGCCGAAGGGGAGTGAGCCAAAGACAAAGAGGAGATGGAACCTGCAGCGCCGTCTGCTACCGGAGCCACCTGTCTGTCGCTAGAAAGGGTCCCGAGGCATGGGGCAAAACCTGCCCACCTGCCCCTTTTGACTGTACTCTGCTGGCTCTCAGATTCCGTGGCTTCCGTCCAGCCTGCGGAGACGCAGGTCAGGAAATGGGGTGGCACCCAGCCAGGGACCACGCATCTCCCTCCCTCTGCCTCCACACCGTCCCCTCCTGCTATGTGCCCTGATGCTCTGCTGTTGCTTGGCTGCCGTCCTCAAGGTTGGTAATAATAGTTACAATGTTTGCGTGTGTTTGGCTTGCCTCTTACAACTTAAATTCTTTTGAATTACATGATTTCAATCCAGCAAGGACAAGATTTCTATATTTGTTGTATCTCCCAGCAGCCAGCACGTACATACAACAAAGGCTAAAATACAGCAGGGCCTCGTACTCAAGACTGCCAGTCAGTCAACAAGTATTTACTACGTTCCCACAAAGCGTGCAGTGCGGGCAGCAGCGAGGTCTAACAATGGTAAGATGCACTTGTTTCATCCTGGGAAATCCAGAAGAGGAAATAAAGGGACGGTACAGAAAGTTCTGACACTCAGGGGAAAGTCAGGGTCACTGCAACTGCCCAGGGGAGACCATGAGAGCTGGGCTCAGAGCCCCGGATGAAGGACTCCCGGCTGCCCAGCTGATGAAATCTCCGGTCTACAGCTGCCCGTTTCCGGAAGTCCCACCTGGAAAGGGACTCTGGGAGCCCATGTTTGCTGCATGGTTGTTTCTCCCCAACACTCCCCTTCCTCCAGCCAGTTGTGCTGGCAGGCAAATCAGGGGAACCACCGCAGCTCCTGCCTAAGGAGAGTTTCGCATGCTGTTAACGCTAGCGGTGGCACTGATCTCTGGCTGATTGCAGCCACTCAGGCTAAATGGGTAGGAGGTTTATTTAAAAGAGAAAAGGCAGGGGAATGTGGAGGAAGGTAGTAGGGGAGAGGGTGAGCTAACAACTTTGGCTAGGAATAAAGAAACAATCTCTTTTCAATCAGGGACAATTAACTCTTAAGTCAATATGCAGACTTCATAATTCCTGGACTAACTTCGTCTTGCCCAGGCGGCCACGATCAGGGTCAGGGGAGCGTGTCCTCTGGTGAGAGCTGGTACTGCTGTCTACTGCCTGCGCTTTCCTTCCCTGACACTGGAGCTTGTTACGGTAACACCTGGCACTTGGAAGAGCAGGCAGGAAAGAAGGTTCTGCCCTCCCTCCAAGAACTTTATGGCATCTCATCGTTGGAGGTGCCCTTACCTTACCCCAGCGGGAGGTATGAGCTGAAAACAAATGGTTTAGATACCATTTCAGGGGGATGTACTTGTAAAGGGCTACAAGATCAAGGGGAGATGTTTTGGAAATACCAGCTCTCCCAGCACCTGGATAAGGTCTGGGCAGGGCACTCCTTGAATTCTGAAGGCTGCAGACATTCAACTGGGGTGGTAAGTAGGAAGACCTGGTGGCAGAGAGAAGCAGACTGCGTAGATCAGGGGCATGCCCTTGGAACAGCTCTGCAGAGTCATGCTAAGAAGATGGGCAGAACGCAATGCAGTCTTACCTAGAGGCAGGCACTGGGAGGGACAAGACCTGCAGGCCTTTCAGAGGAGAGAACAGCCTTCACCCAGTGTACTGTGCTAGATGGGGAATCCAGAGTCTGAGAGTCTTATTTCAGAGAGAGTTGCAAGAGCTCCACGGTGCAAGAGCCTCTCTCACCCGGAACTACTGTGGGAGCAAACCCTACTCTGCAGCTCTGTGGCCCAAAGCTCTGTACCTGCCTGATTTCCCAATTTTAGTAGCGATGCGCTATGCTTCAGGTGAAAGAGAGGAGAAGCCAGAGCATCCTACGTTAAATAACGTTTCAGTGCCACAGGCTGACTCCTGCCTAAATCTAGGTTTTGGTTTGGGGCTTGGGGCTGGTTGTCAGGGCACCTGGCTGAGCCCTGGTACCATGTCAGTCCTAGCAGTTGGTGGGTGCCGGGCAGCAGGCTCGTGCTGCTTTGCAAGAATGTTCTAGGGAAGAGCACCCCAGGACAGGGACCGTGTATGGGAGGGGATTCTGGAACTGAAGGGGTCAAATATAAGGCAGCTTTATCCCAGGTAGAACTCTCAAGAAGAGACCGTCTTGGCCCTGCATCTTCATCAATATTTATCGAGTCCCAGCTTTCTGCAAGGTTCCATCACAAGAGCTGAATACTGATGTCTGACCTTGCAGTCTCACACTAAAACACAACTGACACACAAATGAAGGGAAAGGATGATATGTATGTTAAAGGAGAGAGGGGACCATGGTGAGACACCTAGAGGGTCATTTAGGACTTAGAGGATCTCCTCGTCTCAAAGACACAGTAGTTATGGGACGGTCCCTTCCCCAAAGGGAGTTTGGGAAGGGGATTTGTGGAAAGGGAAGACCACTTCTTGAATAGAATGGAAACTCTCCTCGTTCACCTAGGTCACTCCTAGACGTGCTTCAAACTCCACTTAAGAGTCGCTGTGAGATGCTGCCCCTCTACAATCCAGCTAGCTGCACACATGCATCCCCTACTGTCGCATGTGCCTCTCTGTCCGAACAGCTGCCCTCCTGTCTCTTACCCGTGACTGTCAGCCCACGGAGGGCAGAAGCCTCAGGGTCTAACATAGTGTCAGGCACAGGGGAGGGACCTGGATGTGAGAGCCACCTGGCTGCCACATCTGGCATGTTCATTTTTGCTCATTTAGTTGGTTAAATGTTTACTGACTGATAGGAACGAAGGATGATTTGACTAGAGGGAAGGGAGAGGAAGTGAGCACACAAATAATCAGGGAGGAGATGAAGGCCCCAGGAGAGCACCTGCTTAGAGTCCCTGCTGGGAAGGTGGACCCCAGCCCCTCTCCCCCTCTGCAAGGCCTGAGGCCCGCCTGAGCTCATGGACTCCAGGCTGGCCTCTCCTGATTCATCCTCTGCTCACCCCTCACTCACCAGTTGCTCTTCCAGGTGTGACGGACGTGCGGGTCGTGGATACCGTGTTTGTCCGCCTGTTCATCCAGAAAGTCAAACATGTACTTGATCGCCAGGGGCAGGGCGGAGCCGCGGTGCGCCGTGCTGAAGATGGTCTCGAAGAGGTCGTCCACAAACTTCTGCAGTGTGCCCTGCGGAGGAGGGCGCAAGTTCAGACACAGCTCGCCTGCCCCGTGAGCTCTGAGGCTGGGTTTTTTTTTTTTGCGGTACGCAGGCCTCTCACTGTTGTGGCCGCTCCCGTTGCGGAGCACAGGCTCCGGTCGCGCAGGCTCAGCGGCCATGGCTCACGGGCCCAGCCGCTCCGCGGCACGTGGGATCTTCCCGGACCGGGGCACAAACCCGTGTCCCCTGCATCGGCAGGTGGACCCTCAACCACTGCGCCGTCAGGGAAGCCCTGAGGCTGGGTTTTGAGATCGACTGGCCTCCCAGATGGCGGGCGGAAGGGAGGACAGCGCACAGCCACACCTGCTTGGGTGAAATCCTGCAAGTGCCTATGTGAAATCTGCACCCTCCCCCTGCCCGCCTGCATCTGTCTCGAGCAGCTTTACATTTCCCCGGCACGTAGAAACTAGATACAACACCGATAACTGGACCTAAGGAAGCCTTCCTCTGCCAACAACTCGGTTTGGTTTAACACCCTTTGATGGTGTTATTTTAGCACTTTTCACAAATGCTAATGAACAACTCAGTCACTCAGAGCAGACAAACACAATCTGCCGGTTCTGTTTAGGCATTATTCACGCCGGCTAATGCACAGTTACTCATTTGCCTCTGCAGAGAGCAGAGCTGAGGCCAGTCTCCGGAGTGAGGGACTAACTGGGATGGGACTGCCTCACCTCAGAGAAATGCCACAGCTGGCAAGTCCCTAGCATCTCTGCTGGTGCCCCCTCTCTCATCCACTCACGCACACGCTGCTGGCCAGTGCCGGTCTCTTTCCCAGCACAGAGCCTCAGAATCCTTCTCAACCCACTGCTGCAGCCAACCCCACCCATACTGGATCCGTGAACCAGGATTAGAAACGGTGCCTGCCTGGAAAGTCAATGATGGAGCCCCAATTCCCATCACGACACCCCAGAGAAATAGTCATTCTTCCGTCAGGCGTGGCAGAAGACCATGAATACACGTGCTTAGTGTCTCTCTGAGCGAGGGCAAGAGAAGGGACGGAATCAAAACTTCTGACGGCATGCCAGCACGGATGTATGGGTGGGGTTGGCTGCAGCACTGGGTTGAGAAGGATTCTGAGGCTCTGTGCTGGGAAAGAGACCGGCGCTGACCAGCAGCGTGTGCATGAATGGGTGAGAGAGGGGGCACCAGCAGAGGTGCTAGGGATTTGCCAACTCTGGCATTTCTGTGAGGTGAGGCAGTCCCATCCCATAACCCACAGGTGCCCCGCACCCTGTCTGAAGTCCCATACCTTAGTGGCCAGCAGTCGTGTCAGATAGATTTCGGACACCATCTTGCTCCCCCGGTCACCCTCCTTCTGGTCCCCGTGCTCGTGGTTCTTCACCAGGTGCCACATCTTGACGCCACTCTCCAGGTCAGGGGTGATCATGGGTGTGCGTGAGCGGAGGCTGTCAGGGCTGCCCGTGTACCGGATCATGTTTTCTGCCAATGCAAGGACCCCACGCGGGTAAGGCCACCCAGCCTTCCGGCCCATCACTCACGACACACCTCGGCTCCAGCCAAGGCCAACTCCGATCCTTCCTGCATTTGCAGGCGCTGTCACCTTGCCTCGCTTCCGTCCATTCCCGAATCTGGGGCGCTCTCCCACCACCTCCGGAAACTCTCTGCGGCTCCTCCACCCACTCGGATTCCCCTCCCTCCTGCACTTGCATCTCCAGCCCTTGCTACTCAATTTGTAAAAATAGAAGCTTGTCCTTTTTTACACTTTCCTTATGAGAGCTCTCAAGTCTCAGGGGGTGCTCTGTGCAGCCAGCTGAGGACCAATGAAAGAGCAGGGATCCTGTCTCCCCAAACGACGGCTGACCAGCTTAGTGATCGCCCTGTCACTGTGTACCTTCATCCGCCCCTCTCGCCTGGACCAGTTCCTCCCACTTAATTGCTGAAACGTGAGGTGTGGTGAGATGAGAGTCGAGCGGGAAGAGAAGAGGCAAGCCCCACTGTGTGCAGGCACCGTTCTAGGTTGTCTTCTATATATTTTCCAGAACCATCCCGTGAAGTTGGTAGTTTTTGCAATCCCCGTTTTGCTGGTAAGAAGGCACTCCAGGCTTCCCGCCCACATCCGGCGCCCTTTTCCCCACCCCGAGGAGCAGAAACCTGGGTCTGTACCTTCCCTCCACTGCTTCATAGCGTGTGACCTTTACACGTCATCTAGCCTCTGTGCATCTGAGTTATAATTTGCTAATCTGCTTAAGAGGGGGAAATAATAATTATTTAATCCACTGATTATTATGAACCTGACGTTTGATAAAGAGTTATCACGAGTGTGAAAGCATCTTAGAGACTGTACGATGCTCAGGAAGGTTAGACTTTCTTCTTGTTTTTGAGGATGAAGGTCCTGCGCCTGCATCAGAGCCCCTGCCCGGAACCAGAAGCCTCCTTTCCAGGCCAGAGTTCCTCTCTGGTGGCCAGCCTGCCTGACTCCCCCCCCCCCCGCCGCCACTCCCCACCCCCGTGCCCCATCCCGGGCATCTGCTGCCTTCCAGCAGTGCTGCCAGCAATGACAACAGCTGCTCAGGGCATCCTCTCCTCCCCAGAATGATTCAGTGAACTCACCGTATTTACTTGCCGAGGTCCTGGAGACGGTGGAGTTGTTCACGGCATTGTAGGCTGTCACCTGCTTGGACACTAAAGCCACCACAGAACCATCCGGCACCTACCGGGAAAAGGCAGGTGAGGGCCTGGACACAGAAACTCTGCCACCCCAGGAAATCAGGACAAGCCAGGATGAACGTGGTCCTCAGGGGCAATCAGTGCCTCACCGAGACCCAGGGGACCAAGGAGGCTGTCAGCTTTCCTTTGACGCAGCACGACAGATCTGAATACAGAATCGTAGTCTATGTTGGGGTTCACTCTTGGAGCAACTCTGGCAAGAGCTTCTCACCAGCACCCTCTGTCTTGGTGCTTCCCTGGGGGAGCACCCAGCCTTAAACTCCGGGTACCACAGGGTCTGTGCCTATGCCCTGTGGGAAGCATGCACCTGGCAACCATCTCCAAGGAGGTCAGGGTTTCCTGGCTGGGGGCCATGTTTTCGGGTCGCTAAGGGCAAGTGCAGTGCTGGTGAAGAAGTGGATTTAGGGCTTGGTAAGAGCCTCAGGGCAGCCCTGCTATTCAAGGACTGAGACTCCCAGGGACCTGGCTGCCCAGTTCACTAGCCCCTCTCCACTCCACGGTCACCTCACCTGGTAATGCGCCAGGGTGTTCAGTCTCTTCCAGTCGTTCTCAATCTTGGTGGTGATGTCTTCATCCTGCAGGATCATCCTCGCCCCACTTCCTTGTCGCCACTCTGTAGGGAGAGCAGTTGCATCTCAGAGAGGGCCTCAGGGCCTCCCATGGGATCCTGGATGAAGTGCACGTACACGGCACCTTCTCAGGGGTGCATCGCGGACAGACAGGTGCTAGCAGACACTCCCAGAGGAGGGGTGCGGAAGCTCTCAGCACGGGTGCGGGGGGGCGGCCCTGAATTCCAGTTCTGGTTCTCATCCAACAAATTACGTGACAGAAGTAGGAATAACATCACCCCCGTGGCCCACCTGTTCCCAGCAGTGGCTGTAAGGCCAAGTGGCCTGAGGCAGGGGAACACAATCAGATTCACAGGTTGCATCAGAACGAAATTCTCCGCACCACCCAGTTCCAGAAACTGCCCTGGAGACATTCCGGACCACCCAGTTCCAGGAACTGACCTGGGGACTTTGAACCCGGGCCAGCCTTCCCGCCTTTCGAGGGGCGGGACTAACTGTCCCAAGACTGATGCAACCGGCAACCAGCTATTGCCACGATACCCGAAGAGACCACCAAATAAGGAATACCCTGCGCCCTCCCAGATTCACCACACCCCTTTCCCTTCTTCCCCTATAAAATCGTGCCCAACCCTCGCCCAGGCGCGACTTCTCTGGCCCCTTTCTCTCACACCAGTGAACCTCGCCCGGGAGCGCTCCCTAATAAAGCTCACTTGAAGCTTTCCTCTGTTTCGCGGTGCCGTTTGTTAAGATCCGACCTTACAGTGGCCACATCTGCAAGAAGTCTTTGCTTATTAGCTGAATGAAAAAGGCAGGTGAAGGCACTTAAGAAAGTACTAAGCAAATGCAAGGCGGTGTCATCACCGTCACGTACTCTTTGCTTGATTGTAAGGTCTTGGAGCTAATGAGACCAAGGCTGCAAATTCGGTCACTGTGCTCCCCGTTCCTGTTCTAGGGGTGCATCCCGTACCCGAAAGCTGGCAGGTGGGCCACCGTTGGCTGGGAGACTGAGTAAAAGCGTATAGCGGGACCAGCAAAACCTATTCTCATGCCCAAGAACAGCCTCGTCCCCACAAAGCTGATGGGGATAACAGCCTCTTGGTGATGGAGCCAACACCTAATTATCTGATGCCATAGGTATACGCTTACATCCCATGTTCTCCTCATGGGCCCAGACACCTATAACACGCGGGCTTGCTGACGGATCCCACATGGGAAAACAGGAGACTGGTTCTCCTCTACCAAATCCTCATCGCCACACGCGGTACAAATCACACGGAGATGGAGGCACGCACATGCCAGCCCTGAACTGGTTGCACATGGAGACCCAGGTGCATGCCAGACACAGGCCAGCTCTCGTGCACGGGCACGTACACATCTACACATGCACACACGTTCACACGCACACAGCAGAAAGGAAAAATGGCCTTTTCAATCCAAATACAACGTGTTCCTGCCAGGAAGCCAGGAGTCTGGTTTCCAGGCAGCCACTACCCCATTCAACGCCTCACAGATGCTGAAATTCTGAAACAGGCAAGAGCACCGGGTTTTGCAGCATGTGGTTGGGGGCTGGAGTGAGTTACCCGCAGTC